GACAAGCTGAAAGAACAAGAGGACAATAACCAGTGTCCCCATAAAACTGTAAAATCCCAACATGAGAGGAAAAAATATATTAAGCTCCTAGTATTGTCCCCAAACCTGTATATTTCTTAGATACAAGGTTTCTTTTTCTTTTTTTTTTAATTCATTCTCACAATTCTTGTTCTTTTATTTTTTTAACCTACTTATCATTACAACTAGATGCTTAATACAATATACCATAATATTTTAACTTGAAATTTTTCATACATATACCTTTATTTCTTCTTCTTTTTTTAATATATCTAGATATAAGCTTCAAGGTAATCCTTTTTCCCTATTCAGTACTACCACTATATATAAACCAGTTTTAATTTCCCTATATCTCTGGAAAGTTGAGTCCTTAACAAAGATAACAAGATACACCCAGGAAGAACTGAGATAAACTTCCTCACTCACGTCAAGGGTTTATAACCATCTTCCCATCTTATTCTTTAGTCAATGTTTCTGTGTATTTGTTTTTGTACTATATAAATCTTATTTTTATGGTTCATTTTGGCTGGGTTTTTCCTTTTTTTCCCCTTTACTTTTGTCGGTCTTTTTCTTTGTTCATTTTTGGTTTTGTACCTCATAAATCTAACTTTTGGGGCTCCTTTTGGCTGTGTTTTTTCTTCCTTTTTTCTTTGTTCTCTCTTTTTTATTTTTTCCTTCTTTTTGGTGGTGACTTCCAATTGCTCCAAAACTGCACCTTGCCTGGATTGTGGTTGATATATTCAGTTCTACATCCCCTCAACCACCTCTCAGCAAAATGATTAGGAGGAGAAACACCCAACAGAGGAAAAATTCAGAGACTGTGACCTCTGACACAGAACTGTTGGATATGGACATAAACAGTATGTTGGAAATAGAATTCAGAGTAACAATTATCCAAGCAATGGCTAGGTTGGAGAAAAGCATTAGTGGCAGCATAGAATCTCTAATAGCAGAAGTGAGAGCTGATCTGGGAGAAGTTAAAAATGCTATCTGTTAGGGCCAATTTAATGTTAAAACCTGTTTAACTATTAGGGCCTGCTTAGCCAGAGCAACCGCATGTTGCCTTGGTAGCCATATTGTTGTTTACATCCACGGACTTTATTCTAGGCATAAACGCCCCAGTAGTTCCTGGTATGGTTCCGGGTATCAATTCCAGGAGTAAATGCCTTAACGATAGAAGCCACATACCTTGGGTCTGTGGTTATGCCCTATAAAACCAGAGTGAGATTGGGAGGGGGTTGCTTTCTTTGGAGGCAGCCCTGGCCGGTCAGTCTGACTTCTAATGCTTGGTATAGAATAAGGCTTTGCATAACTTTCACTTTGTCTCAGTCTCATTCCTTTGATAATGGACCCCAACACTATCAATGAGATCCAATCTAATCTAAATACGCTAACAGCTAGGATAACCAAGGCAGAAGATTAAATTAGTGATTTAGAAGACAAACTGATTGAAAAGAAGGGTGAGGAGGAGGCCTGGAACAAACAACTTAGAATCCATGAAAACAGAATTAGAAAAATAAATGATACCATGAAACATTCTAATGTCAGAACTTTTGGGATCCCTGAGGGGGTGGAGAGAGACAGAAGACTACAAGATACAGTTGAACAAATAATGGATGCAAATTTCCCTGATTTGGGGGATGGAACAAGTTCATGTCCTAGAGGCAGAGAGGACACCCTCCAAGATCAATGAGGGTAGAAATACCTCCAGGCACGTGACTGTGAAATTCACGAATCATAAATTCAGAGAGGAGGTCTTTTTTTTTTAAGATTTTGTTTTATTTATTTGACAGACAGAGATCACAAGTAGGCAGAGAGGCAGGCAGAGAGACAGGGGGAAGCAGGCTCCCTACTGAGCAGAGAGCCTGATGTGGGGCTTTAACCCACTGAGCCACTCAGGCACCCCCAGAGAGGTCTTAAGGGCAGCTAGGGGAAAGAAATTCCTTATGTATAGAGGAAGGATGCTATCAGAATATCAGACCTGTCCACAGAAACCTGGAAAGCCAGAAAGGGCTGTCAAGACACCTGCCAGGGCACTAAATGAGAAGAACATGCAGCCAAGAATACTGTATCCAGGAAGGCTGACATTCATAATGGATGGAGAGATAAAGAGTTTCCAAGACCAGCAAAGTTTAAAAGAGTAGGTGACCACCAAGCCGGCACTGCAAGAAATATTAAGAGGATTTCTATAAAAGAAGAAAGAACCCAAAGGTGACATAGAATAGAAATTTACAGAGACAATCTATAGAAACAAGGAGTTCATAGGCAACATGAAGTCAATAAAAATGTATCTTTCAATAATCACTCTCAATGTAAATGGCCTAAATGCTCCCACAAAATGGCACAGGTTTACAGACTGGATGAAACGACAGGACCCGTCCATATGCTGTCTACAAGAGACATGTTTGGAACCTAGAGATTCACCCAGACTGAAAGTGAAGAGATGGAGGAACATCTTTCATATCAGTGGACCTCAGAAGAAAGCTGGGGTAGCGATTCTCATATAAGTAGTTAGATTTTAAGCTAAAGACTGAGAGAGAAAGCATGAATGGGGGGTGGAGAGGGGCACAGCAAATGGGAGAAGCAGACTTCCTGCTGAGCAGGAAGCCCAACATAGGGCTTGATCCCAGAACCCTGAAATCATGATATGAGCCAAAGGCAGACATTTAACTGACTGAGCCACCCAGGCACCCTACAAATAATTTTGTTAATAAAAATATGTATCATCTAGTAAGGGGGACATAATTATACTAAAAAATATTGCAGGGGATATAGTTATACTAAAAAGTATTCATTGTTTAACTGTAATAAAAAACAGCTGGGAATCCTATATCTTATCTGGCAACCCTATGGAGGAAGGACCAGTATTTTAAATAAATGGCTTCCCAGGGAGGAAATCCTGAGATTGGGGAAAACAGAGACCACAATGAACAACGACTTTTTGAAGAGAGGAATGAAGGCAGCTTCTTTTATACCAATTAAGCAATCACAGATGACCTTGTCAGAAATCCAAACTCATGACTAACATGAGACTGGAGACAAGGAAAAGCAATTTAAAAGATTAAGAACCAAAGAAGAAATCTTGATAAACAGGGCCAGCCAACAGACAGAATAGTCCCATCCAGAAAGGTAAGAGCATGTCCTTCTCAACCATTGTTTTTGTCCAAGAGAACAGGTTTGGGGGGATTCTGGTGTGCTCCTCTGCCCTCCCTCATTGCTTCCCTGATGTTTGGCTGTCCACAAAATCTCTCCTTAATGTAAGTCTCCAGCTTCTGAGGGCTCACAAAGTCTCCTCCTAGATCCTGTTCCTAGACTGCCAAGAAGAAAAGCAGAGGACCATGCTGCATCCTGCTTGTGATTCTGCTTGTATATTCTCCTGTCACTTGAAAGATGGCTTCTATTGGTTTGGGATGGGGTACATTTTTTGTACCCACACTATTTGTAGAGTTTACATAGATTTACAAAAATATTTAATGCAGAATTGGGTTTTGTATCTGTAATTTTTAACACAGGGCTCACCCCTACATTATTTACCTGAGATGATCAGTGAGTTCAAATAGAATTTCTTTTTTACAATTGGGAAGGAAAAATTACAATGGAAAGGGTTCATGTGGCAAATTCCCCACTCGGTTCTCCCACTTCTCTCCTACAATTTTAAAGAGGTTCATTAATATGTTAACATAATATTAATAATATATATAATATTAATAATAATTAATATAACTAATATAACTCTATTATCAGAGCTTTGAAATTCATGAGAACCAGAGAGAAGAAAAATACAATGGCAAGGAAAGAGAGAAACTGTTGTTGGTTTCCAACCAGCACCCTTAAATGATGACCCCTGAAGTTCATGAGCTCTATTTGTTTGTATTATGGTTTAAAATTTTGTATTCTCTCTATATATATATAATATATTATTATATATGTTATACATATATATACTGTTATATGTGTGTGTGTATACACACACACACACACACACACACACACACATTTAAGTCCTATTCATGAGACCTGAATGAGAGAGAAGCAAAAACTGATTTCAGTGGGAGGGAAAACAAATCATTAGACAGAATCAGGTTATGGGAGTCCTCATCTTGTTTTGGAAGGTGTAAATGAATATGCACAAGCCCAGGCATTTCCTTTGCTGGAAGGTGGACTTGGAGAATGCCATGCTCAGCCACATACTCATATGTTATCTAGCTGTCTATATGGCCAAACACTGATATCAATTTAATACTTTTGGAGAGAAATAACTCCTTTTATTAACCAGTCTTGTGCCAGGGAAAATAAGGAATGAATAAAAATGCATTTTGTGTATTCAAACGCTTGGAAACTAAAGACCATCCTGCTCAAGAATGTTTGGATCAACCAGGAAATCAAAGAAGAACTTAAACAATTCGTGGATCCACAAATGTGGGGGCACCTGGGTGGCTCAGTCAGTTAAGCATCCGATTCTTGATTTCAGCATAGGTGATCTCAGGGTGGTGAGATCAAGCCCCACATCAGGCTCTGCGATGGGCATGAAGCCTACTTAAAATTCTCCCTCTCCCTCTGCTTCCCTCCCCCATCTCTTAAAAAAATAATAGCAGTAACAATAAAATGTCATTTTTTAAAAATGTATTTTGTTTCTCTATAAGTTTGTGGTATAGAGTCAAATTGAAGGCAAATGAAGAGACTTCCCTCCCCAATAATAACTCAATTTCAGTTTTTTGCTTTTGTTTGTAGTTTCTTATTCGAATTTAATTTTCAGTTGGTGGAAGCAGTTAGAAACCTGAGCAATTTCCACTTGATATCAATGAAAAAGCAAGTACAAATCCTCTCACAGAGAGAAACCAGAGGGTTCCAGCTATCATTGATGTTCACCTGGAAAGAATGTCTGTGGATATTTGTGAAATGCTGAGTAAGGATGTTCTGAATGTGTTTAAAGGTACCTGTGTGTCCCTGCTATTAGGAGTCCTGTGGCCTGCCCCCACAAGATGTCAAGAGAAGAGGCTCACTTCATCCTTGGTTACCCCAAGAAGGGGCATAATCACTCCTACATCACAGCTGAAGAGTAAGTTCAAAACTGAACCCAGTGAGGTTTGCAGTTTTCTGTTTGATGACACAGCCTGCTGATTTCCACAAGCACATGCCTGTCAGTAAATCTCTCTAGTGTTCATTTCTCTAGAGAGTAAAAACCCTGGCAATGAGGTGAGAGGACCCCATGATCTTATAAGGGGCTCAGTCAAGCTTTTCTGAGGATTTATAGGCAAGGATATAGGAGTGATAATAAGTTGGATCTTGGCTTTTTTTTTTCTGTATTCTTGTTTATTAGGCATTTACTAAAGTTTTCCTAGCTGGAAAATATTTGTCCAGGAACAAGATGACTCTTTCCTCAAGCCTTGTTCTGTCTACTCTACTCAGACTCCTGGAGACAGTTTGCAAACGGAACAAAGATGAGTTGCCAAAGATCTAGTGAGAAGGTAGGCCAGGTATGTGCAACTCCACCTGCAGACTGACCCCAGGGTGAAGATGGTGGTCATAACTTCTGCATCATAATTTTATCCTAAGGAAAGGTGTTAATAGTATGAATTAATTTTAAATAAGTAGTTACAGGATTCAGCATTTTTAAGTGCTAAGCAATGTATAGTCAGTCTAAGATGCTGTCCTTATCTTTGAAAAAAATCTTATAGTGTAGTGCAGAATTAGGCTCAAGAATTATTTTAGCAAGCGTAAGTGCTGTAGTGAGATAACAGGTTGCTGGAACACACTTTGCATGTATTAGAGTACCCAAGAGTGAGTTGCTCTAGATAGGGTTCCACCCTCTGAGTAAAGACTCCAACAGGACAAACTAGGTACCAGGTTTTTATTTGAACCAAGTCTTAAGTGGTCTAGTCAGAACTTTCTGCAAACTTGCTCTCCCTTGAGAAGGAACGATTGAAAAATCTTTACTAGAGTGAACTAATATGGGCAAGCTAGATGTAGCACCCATTAAAGACACTAATGAAGAATTTAGTCTTCTTTCTTCAGAAGACCCTAGTGGGATTTTCTAACATCCCTGCATGGTCAGTTGGGAATGGGGATTGGGAGATATTGTTTCAGCTTCTTTATGATGATTCAACAAACTGTATCTCTGTGAAACTTCAATAAAAAGAGGTTGAGGGGTTCTCTCAGTTAAGAGGGCATAAGCCACTCATGGAGCTTATAAAATGCAGTTTCCCAGGCATTGCTTCCAGAGAGGCTGATTGGTGGGTCTAGGGGTTGAGCTCAGAGTCTGCACTTTAACATGCATCTCAGGAGACATTTGGTAACACTCTGGAGACTCCTACCCAGCTGGGTAGTGGGTTCTTTTGGTGTGCCTGGCATATCCTGATATTTTTCACTCTATCAGTCACTGGGTGTGTGTGAATGCAATGTGAATGAGCATAAAGAACTGGAACAGAGCTCTGTCTGTCAAGATGTCCAAGGGGATGAAAACAGACTTTTGGGTGAAATTGGACCACAGGCATTCTAGGAATTGAATCAGCTGCCTTCAGTCACAAGAACCCACTGAATGCTCCTTGTGACAGCTTCATTTCAGGAAAGGGTGATATGGCAGGAAAAGCACCAGTTGGGTATCTTAGGCCAGTCACTGTTAATGCTGGTTCTGCCACTTTCTAGATGTGCAGTCTTGGGAATTTTACCAGCTTAAAATTGTGGAGATGCCAGCTATGATATGAGCATCATATATATCTCAGAAGATTATTGTGAGGACGAAATAAAAGCCTATATGTGGGAGCTTGGCACAATGCTTGGCACCAATCAATGCTTAATGAATTACAGAGTAGCTGCTGAGGTGGTGGGGATGTTGGTGAGTCTTGGTAGGTCTCAGTTCATAATCCACAAAGTAGGTGGACTGACATGCATAATTAGGTCAGAGTTTTTATCCAGCACTGTCATCCATCCCATTTAGATATGTACAGGATAGATTTGATGCCTCAGCTGCCTTAAGAAGGAGGTGGTCAGGTAGGTGGTATAAGACAAAGATCTCTCCAGGAGAAGCCCCAGCTATATCTTGATTCACCTTCAGCTACATGGGCAAGGAGTGAGGGTGTGAGTTTCAGGCAAAAAGGACACAAACATGAATGAGACAAACTCAAGTTCAAATCCTGACTCCATCTTGCGCTACATCTGTATGCCCATTAGCAAGGAACTTAACATTTGAATCTATTTCCTCATCTGTGAAATGGGCGTGATAAGTGGTGCCTACCTTCTAGGGTTGTTGTGAGAATTAAATAATCTAATTTATGTAGAATGTTCATCATGGCACCCAGCGTAGAGTAGATCTTAAGTCAATGTTAATTATTAATGCTTTTTGTGGACTGATGGTCGGGGAAAATGTTTTAAACTAGCTCTGATGAAAAGAAAACTGTCTCTGTAAATACATTGTTCACATACAGGTCAGTTGCTACTTCACCTCTTGTTCCTGGAACTTTGATGCTTAGGCCATGACAGTTAGCACTACTTCTGTGAGCACACATCTGTGAAGCTCCTAAAGAAAGCTCCTGTCCCTGGGTATAGGTGTTGGAGGTGCTGGGTGTTTAGTGAGGTGTAGGGTGGGGAGGGAAACTACTTGGGGAATGGGATATGTGGCTTTGGGCTGGCAAAGTCCTTGTGAAGATTGAAGGATGATGCATGTTTCTTCACAATCTAGAACAAGGTTTCTGTACCCAGATGTATTTGTCTATTTCTTGGGCCAGGGCTGCAGGGATCGGAATCCTGACAATGATCCTGGGAGTTTTGCTGCTCATTGGCTGTTGCTATTGTAAAAGACGAAGTGGATACAGAAGTTTGAGGGTTAGTAAAGTTTCCACTTCTGGGATCCCTCCAGATCCAGGATCCCCTTTTCCTTCTTTCTCTTAATTTTTGGAAAATGGGATAACATTCTCATAATCACCTTTAGCTCTCATTTCTGGTTTTGATGAGTCTTTCTCTACTTTGTACTTCTTGCAGCTCTTACTTTGCTTCTACCTGGCATGAACTCCAACAAAAAAGTTGGCCCATCTCCTTAGTCCCACTCACAGGAAACTTGAATGCTTGACTATGTGTGCAACTGAGCACCGATAATTTGTGAGGTACGGGGCCAGGAGTCCTGATCCTTTTGCACAGCAAACAGCAGCATGTGAGATGCTCCAGGTCTCACCATTCCTCCTGAGAATTCCCACTGGTTCTGTTCCTTTATTTAGTGGCCTGTTTATCTCACCTTGCTGCCTTACTCCTTTCCAAGGAGTAAGTTCCAAGTTATAGCAAACAATTTAGCATACCTAGGACCCATCCAGCCATCTGTGCAATGAGGAAACCATCCACCCCTCAGCAGCACAAAGTACCACTGGGTTTTTAACATAGCCCATTCTCTTTTGATGGCCAATGTGGTTTTGATGGATTTTTTTCCCTTTACCTAAATAAGCAGGAAGCTAACAAATTACAGTCTAGTCTTAGGGCATCAGTGTCTTCCACAAATGGGAAACATCAACTGAGTCTCTAAACTATAAGAACTACAGGTTTCACTTCAAAGCCAGGTAGTACTTTAGCTCTTAAGCATCCAAAGTCATTCTCCATAATGAGTGATGGAATGAAAGAAGAGTTGCAATTTCTCTCTCTCCGCCCCCTCCTTTCTTTTCTTTTCCCTCCCTCATTCTCTCCCTCTCTCTCTCTCTTTCTCTCCCCCACTTTCCCTCCCTCTCTTCCTTTTTTATTACACACTTGAAACTTCTGAGTTGATACATAATGGAAAAAATTCTCTTTGCAAAAGATGTTGGGAAGTTCCATTCCTCACTCAGCAAACAATTTAGACAAAGGTTCTGTGTAGGGGGCACTTGGAGCTTGGCAGCCTGAAGAGGGGAAGAAGAAGGTGGGAACTATAGCTTTGACTTCTTCTCCTTGCCAGGAAGCTTGAGCAGTCCCATGTGTCCCTTTCCTAATGCCCATTTTGCCAGAATGTCCCAAATACAAATTACAAAGGACAGGGTAAATTATCACCATTATTGTTCAACATAGTAACAGAAGTCCTAACAACAGCAACCAGACAATAAATAGAATTAAAAGATATTCAAATTGACAAAGAAGAGGTCAAATTCTCTCTTCACAGATGACATGATACTCTATGTGGAAAACCCAAAAGACTCCACCCCCAAATTACTATAACTCATATAGCAATTCAGTAATGTGGCAGGATACAAAATCAATGCACAGAAATCAGTTGCTTTCTTATGCACTAGCAATATAACTGTAGAAAGAGAGATTAGAGAATAAATTCCATTTATAATAGCACCAAAACCCATAAGACACCTTGGAATAATCCTAACCAAAGAGGTAAAGGATCTATATTGAGGAACTACAGAACACTCATGAAAGAAATGGAAGAAGATACAAAAAGATGGAAAAATATTTCATGATCATGGATCACAAGAATAAACATTGTTAAAATGTCTATGCTGCTCAGAGCATTCTATAATTTCAGTGACATCCTGATCAAAATTGATCACCATTGGCATTTTTCAAAGTGCTGGAACAAACAATCTTAAAATTTGTATAGAACCAGAAAAGACCCCGAATCGCCAAGGAAATGTTGAAAAAGAAAAACAAAGCTGGGGCATCACATTGCCTGATTTCAAGCTATATTATAAAGCTGTGATCACCAAGACAGCATGATAGCGGCAGAAAAACAGACACATAGAACAATGCAACAGAACAGAGAGCCCAGATATGGACTCTCAACTCTATTGTCAACTAATCTTCAACAAAGCAGGAAAAAATATCCTATGGGAAAAAGATAGTCTCTTCAGTAAATGGTGCTGGGAAAATTGGACAGCTATGTACAGAAGAATGAAACTTGACCATTCTCTTACACCATACACAAAGATAATCTCAAAATGGATGAAAGACCTCAACATGAGACAGGAATCCATCAGAATCCTAGAGGAGAACATAGGTAGTAAGCTCTTCGATATCAGCCATGGCAACATAGTGAATCATGGCACTAACGCAAAAAGTAACAATGACTAACATAACATAATAATAAAAAGGTGGGGGGCACATTTGGTTGTTGACACAACCACTGAGCAGCAGCCCACCAGTATGTTGACATTTAGTGGAAAGGAGAAGTTGCTGAGTCTGAAAAAGATTCTAGATAAGTACCATAGGAAAAACGTGGGCTAGGAGATTAGGGATGGACACCATGCTCATATGATACCTCGCTGTGGTTTTCCCCACAGGTAGGGAAGGACTTTGCTCTCTGCCACAGAACTCCATTTATGCCTCTAGCATGGAGTTAGCATTCCCTTATAACTGGTTAATTACTTTTTGCCTCTTCCATCCCTTTCCCCCATCAATGAACTAGGACAGAGTATTTCTTACTCATTTTTGTACCTCCAGTGCCTGGCACATAGCAGCCACCCAAATCCTGGCATCAGCATTTAGTTTCATTGTCTGTCATTGACTTGCATGGTGCCCTTAGATTTTAACTTCTCTGGGCCTTGTTTGCTCTATTCTACACCTAGGCACATGCAATATAGCCAAGATGCATATCAGTCTTTATTTAATATATATTTTCTTCTATATTTTTATTTAGTTCTATTTGTATACAAAAACATAATGATTGAGTCTTTTAAGGAGTAAATGCTCTACAAACTTAATATGTTGGTACCCATTTCCTAATGTCCACAACTATTAGCTTGATGCTATTAGACAAAAATACAATGATTTTTTTCATTTCTGCTTCAATACTCTCATCTTAAATTTAATTATACCAAAACAGAGAGTCTTTAATGTCATAAGCTCAGACACTGTGAACATTTTGCTTAGTAAGTTTCAAATTCAAGCTACCATGTCTCAATTCCTCTAGGTCTACACCAGTGATTTGTAGAGTTTCTGGAATTTTTATGAGATGGAGCTGTATTTAAATTCTCTAGTATCCATGTCTAGGGGTGCCTGGGTGGCTTGGTGGGTTAAAGCCTCTGCGTTCAGCACAGGTCATGATCCCAAGATCCTGGGATCGGGCCCCCGCATCGGGCTCTTGCTTAGCAGGGGGCCTGCTTCCCTTCCTCTCTCTCTGCCTGCCTCTCTGTCTACATGTGATCTCTGTCAAATAAATAAATAAAATCATTTAAAAAAATTCTCTAGAATCCATGTCTAAAAATGCTGTCATTTATTTTTTAAATTAATATTAAAATTTTGTTTTGAGACTTGCACATGTCTTGAAAAGCTGGGTTGGGAATCAGTAGTCTAAGAAATTGGCAAAATTATGTATAGTAGTGCACTAAATACTACATTTAATTGCATAATTACTTCCTTGTCTCTCTTTAGAGATTTTCTTTTCTTTTATTTATTTACTTATTTAATAGGGTCCACATCCAAAGTGGCAGTTCTTTTGTTTCAAAACCAAAGGACATAGGGGTGCCTGGGTGGTTCAGTTGGTTTAGCGCCCGACTCTTGACCTCAGCCCATCTCTTGATCTCAGGATTAGGAGTGGGCTCCACACTGGGCATGGAACCTAATTTAAAAATAATAATAATAGTAGGCCAAAGAACATAAGTGACAATAAATGCAAGCTTCAGGTACCTAAGTTACTCCACATTTAACAACCTATTTTAGGCTTTGAAGTGTTCACTCTCCCACTTTCATTGACCATAGGATGGTAACAAGGTTAGTTGGAATTAAGATTTCCTAAAATGTTTCCACTGACTCACAATTTCTTTCGTCTCTGAAAAACATCTTTTGGAAGGGGGATTGCTCTTTGAGGCAACTTTTTTTTTGTAGTAATATGATTTGTATGGGGATATAGTTATTTTTGTATTTACCAACTTTTCCTTTCACTTGGAAGTTTAGGACATAACACTTTTTGATTCTTGGAGAAGAATTTTGAGGTCCCTGCTGACAGCTCAGTTTATATTCATGTCTCATGTGTTGTGTTTCTGAATACATGATCGGGGGACCCCTGTGCTCAAATCTCCCAGAGCCCTTGCTAACATGCAGAGCCTGGGACCCGCTCCCCCTTGGTCTTCCTTGAGACCAAGGAAGATGCCTTTGAAAATGCGTGCTGAAGTTTGAATGCAAATGCAGAGAACTGGCAGTGATTTGGGGGAGTAGATCATGCTTCTAATTTATGGCAGGTGAGAAATTTATATATAAGAAAAAGAGTAACTGATAATTGAGGTAAAGGGAGAAAATGCATTAAATACCTTACCTGGAGTATATTGCTGGGAACTGGGGAGAGAAGCAGAAAATTACTGCATCCTTACATCAAGTTTAGGGCCCTTGTGCAAATTTCAGACTAGAGTTTAGGAAAACTACTTCTCTTCAGTCTGCAGACTGTGTGGTTATCAGCCCCAATCCATGTCTGTCTTCACCTCATTGATGTTCCAAACGCTTCTCCCTGAGAAACGTACCTTGATGCCCTCTTCCAACCTAGCAGACCCCAGTGATCAATCACAATCTGCAGAAAAGGCTGAAGAGCTGGTCAACATCTGCACAGCCTCCCTGTTCCAGCCCTTCTCAGCTGGTACCGCAAAGTGTGTGCTGCTAATGCCCGACTGGCTGGATTTGGCTCACTGGTATGTTTAGGTCTGCATTTAAAAAAAAAAAAAATTGAATTAGGTGTCAACCTAGGTACAATTAGATATAGAAGTAATATTTTACATGAAAATCTTGATTTCTAGTTTCTTTTTTAAAAAATCAAAAGATCTGGCAAATATTGGCAACTATACAGTGGTTGTCCCTTTAGATGATATATACTGCCTCCTTTTCTATGGCCCCAACCTGGCCCACCTGACCCCTATGCATTACTTGCCCAGTCCTTCTAAGGATCTGAGTACCGCTGGGTCACCCAGGTGCAGGCAATAAGGAGGTGCTTTGTGTGCAGAGCAGTGGTTCTCCATGTGGCCCTGGATCAGCAGTTTTGGCAGTATCACCTGGGAACTTGTTAGAAATGCAAATTATGGTCCTCACACTAGATCTGCTGTGTCAGAAATTCTAGATGTGGGCCCAGAAATGTGTGTTTAACAAGCCCTGAGGTGAAACTGACACATGCTGAAGTTTGAGAACCACCACCGTGGAGAATTTAACAATAATAAAAGCAACTAAAAGTCTGCTTTTTATTATCACAAGGTGTCAGCAATTTCAAACTATGTCAGTGATGAAATAAATATCTCACCATGGTAGACAACTCCTGAAGTCCCCACTTGGGTATGTGTCTCTGCCCTGTACAACTTGTTGTAATTCTATTCTAGGGATGGAGAATATCAACCTCTAAACCTACGCAAAGCAAACTGAGCTTTCACCCACCCATCCCCACAATAATTCAGGATGCATAACTTAGCCTTAGATTGACTTATCATGTTGCAACTTGACTTGGAAGCTCCAGCTATAACCACAACATTCTACAACAACAGATGCATTTGTAGTATTTAATTCTGGAACACTGAGAAGAAATTTCTAAAAATTTTAAAAATTGGGGAAAAAAGATATTTTGCTGTCATTATGGCGAAGGCAGAAATAGACAATGTGTCCATGCTGCCAAGTTTCTCCTAAGCTTGTCCTCACTGAGATACAGCACTAGCTTGATCACCTCCACTCACAATCATTCTCTGAGGTTCTGGGATTCCTTTGTAGCTCAGTTGGTTAAGCATCTGCCTTTGGCTCAGATCATGATCTCAGGGTCCTGGGACCAGCCCCGCATCAGTCTCCCTGCTCAGCAGAGTCTGCTTCTCCCTCTCCTTCTGCCCTTACCCCTTTCATGCACTCTTTCTTAAAGAAATAATAAAAATCTTTTTAAAAAATCATTCTCTGAGGTTCATTGTTCAGGTTCATTCTTTTTCTCCTTCCCTTCAAAAATATCCATTTACTAATGGGTGTCAGGCACTGTAATAAGTGCTTTATCTTTAGTTTAATTCCTACAACTCTTAAGATGTAGGTGGCATTATTTTCATTATTACAGATGCAAGCACTAGAATTCAGAAAGGTAAAGTGAATAGCCTGAGGTCCCATTGCAGGTAAATGGCAGAACCAAGATTAAAATCTATTTGTAGAGGCAGCTGGGCGGCTCAGTGGGTTGGGCCTCTGTCTTTGGCTCAGATCATGATCTCAGAGTCCTGGCATTGAGCCCTGCATTGGGCTTTCTGCTCAGCCTGCTTCTGCTTCTCTTGCTGCCTGCCTCTCTGTCTACTTGTGCTCTCTCTCTGTCAAATACATAAAATCTTTTTTTTAAATCTATTTTTAAAAATAACTTCAGCTTCCTTCTCTTTTCTTACTGAACTCAATACTTTTTTTTTTCCTCATCCACTGACCTTCATGCATTCACATTTCAGGACAAAGGTATTCATGCTGGCATTCAAAGTACCTTAACAGGAAGATGTCCATCTGAGGGGTTTGGTCATCAGGACAGCAAACTGCCATTTCAAGAGAATAATTGTGTACCTGTGGTAAGTTGAGATCCTGCATCTTGGTGTTTAATGTATGGCTGCTTTTAACTCAGAGGAATAAAATTATTCCAATTTAAAAATCAAGAGTGATGTGAATATACCTGATGCTACTGAAATGGTTAAAATGGTAAATTTTATGTTATGTATATTTTATCATAACAAAAACATAAACAATAACAAAGACAAAAAAAAAAAAACAGGGAAGTACAGAGATTTTCTCTAAATTGTGTCCTCTCATACCCAGATTTTCCAGGGTCAATGATGAGATCCCTAAATGTAAAAGCCAAAAGAAGAACTTGATTCTGGATACAATATTTTTTTGTCTTATGTCTAGTATATTTGCTTTTTTCTGAATGTAGATATATCTAAGGGAGGGAAACAAAGTATCTGTGATTAAAAGTATAAGCTGTATAGTCCAACAGGGTAGCTGCTGGCCACATGTGGCTATTGAACACAGTAGTTTAAATTAAAATATTCTTATACCAAATTTCAAAGACTTAGTATGAGGAAAAGAATATAAATGATTCACTAATTGTTTTTATATCAATTACATGTTGAAATGATAATATTTTTATATGTGGGATTAAATAAACTATATTATGAAGATTAATTTTACCTATTTCTTTTTATTTTTATAATGCAGTACTAGATGTTTTTAAAGCCACATATGTGTTATACTCTATTTCTATTGGACAGCATTGGTACAAATATAGTATGTCATAGTGGTTTAAAAAATAGAATCTGAAAAACAAAACAAAACAAAACAAAACAAAAAAACCAGAATCTGGAGCCAAATTACTGTGAAGTTATATGATTTGGACAAGTAACCTGACCTCCCTCTGACTTAGTTTTCCAAACTGTAATATGAAAACAATGAAAATACTCCTAGAATTGTGAGCATTAAATGAAGGCCTAACCATTTGTTCTGTACGGATAATAGCACTGGCCTTTAGACACACAATGAGGATCTATCTATGTGGTATAAATGTAATATATTAGTGGCTTTAAACAGTGTTCAAGAATTCACCAATTAGGGCTTGGGACTTCTAGTGACAGAGATAATGAAGGTATAAATACATTTTTGAGATTTTGGGAATGCTGTTAGCTCTATTTTTCTCTACTCTTCCTCTTCCCCTCAACATTTCAACATACACACTTGTGAAATTTAACAATGATTATCTTGTTGAGTGGGAATGAAATGTGGGCACTTAGAAGTTTCAGTCCAGAGAAGTAGTATAAATATGATGCTGACCACCAACTTAACCTTTCTCCCAGAAATCTATGCACTGTTGCCAAGGCCATACTCTCCCTTTCTCATTCTCACAGGTTCCTGATGCTCCACCTGCCTATGAGAAACTCTCTATAGAAAAATCACCACCACCTTATTCACCATGAGAATGCGGAGAGGTGATGAAATGATTTCCTTTGCACTTTTGCTAGAATTTAATATGGACATCTAATGTTCTGCTTCGGAATACTGTAGAAACAGTGTACATCATTTCTATTAATAAGCTTAGTGTTAAATTCTTAGTAGAGCAACTGGCAATACTAATTGAGGGAAAGATAAGAAATCTTAAAATGGAAAAAACTTGGTCAATAAACATTGTAATACTGATACTATTTGTGCTAGCAGTAATTCTAATAAATTTATGGTATTTTCTGAGACAGAGTTCAAGTGTGTGTTCTGGGACCATTCAATTTCTTTTATTTGAAATTTGCCTATACCTAATAAACTATTATTCTGATTTTTGAAGAGGCAACATTTTGACTAACATGAACTCTAACAGAATTGTTGCAGATGAGTCCATGCCATGGAACTCTCACAAAGGATACCATTATAGAGCTAAGACCAAGAGCTGATTGACCTACCAAATTATAGTCAGTTTCATCTGATTAGGAAAGTGTCAGTAATGTCTCTTTGTGTTCTAAAATTCCATGATGCTACAATAACATACTGCAGAGATCCATTATCTTGAGCACTACATATAATACAGTTTTAATTACATTTCACTTCAAGACTCAATGTTATCACAATTAATGACAAAATCCTTTTGTTAAACCAGAAGGTGGTACAAGGATTTAAATAAGATATTGTAGTTTGGCTGATGTCTTGCCTTAAGTGCCCCAATGACAATTTAGCTCCTCTGGGCTGCCAAAGCACTCTCAAAAAATATAGAAGTAATCATACAGGATCAAAGATTCTGGAATGGTGTGGAATGGTGGAATGGGGCATAACAACATTATAATTTTTTGTTGACATCTACATATCATCTATACTATTATTTATCTAATATTTATTATTTCAGTCAACTCATTTAAATTTTTTTTGGCTTAAATTATAACCACCCTAAACGGAAAATCAGTATCATTTTCCATAAGTAGAAGATAACCATCAAAAGGAAGATAACGAAAGTATTTTTATTCAAACCTAGAAAGATACCAATGATTGATCACAAAAGGCTGAGACCTGTTCTTTTTATTTAAGAGGGAGATTAGCAAGAAACAAACAGCTTTCTTGCAAGAGAAAGAAATTACTTTCTTGCTATGTGACAGTGTTATTTAATGTTGAGTCAGCAAACCACCTAAAATCATCTTGTGTCATCAGAAACACGAGTGTAACATACTCGCTTCATTTTCCACCAAAGACAAGATTGCGCTGAAGAGAAAAAATACTGAAAAACAGACTTATCACATTGAAAAAAGTCATTGAACAAAATACTGAAATACTTTCCTGTTTCTGATTCTGTCCAGTCTTATCACTAAAAATAAGCCCTTTCCCTCCCTTTTTCAAACAAATAAATGAATTCTAAAGTAAACTTCAACAGAATTTGGCCAGATTCTTTCCTCATGACAAGTCCTAGACTAAGCCTCAATCCTCCACATCTATAGAATATATGGCTAGGAGCACCTGGGTGGCTGCAGTCAACACATTCTCCTCAACCAATTGTGCTAGATAAATAATATCACTTCTTACTCTCTACTTGTGCAATAAGCAGAGCAAAGTTTGTTCTATTTTATAGAATCTGGTCTTCCCACCTCCTCCTGCTCTGTACTAGCTTTCAGATAGTGTTGTCTATGCTTGATCTCAAGTCTCCATGTGTTTCCACAGGAGATTCTGATATGGCCTTCTTGATTTTTTTGGTTTTTACAGTTAAGAGTGGGCATACTTTAAGGAGTGGGGGAAAAAAGATCCATCCCAAAGATTTTCTGCTCAGGGTTAAAGTAAGTGAAGAAACTAGACTGATTACACAAACCAATGAAGCCTCCAAGTCACCTCCAATGAAGACCAGTCCTCTGAAATAACAAACACTGAGTTTTGCAGCATTTATAAATATCTGGACTTGTCCACCCATCACTTGAGAACATTGTAAACCTTTCCCAAAAAGAAGTGAATCCCCTAAACTTTTAAACTTTCATTTTCATGGCTTGACTTTAAAGACAGATACAGTCACTCAAAGATGCAGCAAAATCCCTCAAGCTCAAGTGACTGATGCCAAAACATCTTAAGAGCATCTCAGAAGAATGTCCCTCAGAACATCCCTCATGTCTGGTTTGGATAAAAACACTCGATTTTAAGAAAGTCTAAAACTGCTATTCTAAGAAGCGGGGCAATGGTAGAAAAAGTGTGGGGAGATGAAGGAACAGAAAGCAATGTTTGACAATGTGAAAACACAAATGAAAGAGACTTCAAATTATAAAGAGGGCCTGTTAAAATCTCGAAAACCACACTGAAGACAAGTTTGCTTGCTCTCTTTAAGAGAATATAATGAGGATGATGGCAACTTGAAATTAGACAAAGAATCAGAAAATTGAGAATTCCTGGGCTGCCAATTAGAAGTCAATTTGAAGAAATACATTAATGCTGTTAACTTTTTCTTAATAAGTCTTGAAGGAGAAAAACAAGGACAACTTAAAAAGTGAAGGAAAATAAATGAATCAATGACTTTTAATTCAAATGAGAGGTCTCCAAAATGAACAAAAATCTTTGCAGTCTAAAAATACTGCTCAAGATTCAGATTTTAAAACTTCAGTTAAAAGTTCAAATAATGCTTGAAGTATATCAAGAACGTGTAACATATATCTGCAGAAAATCCATTAAGGAGAGAGTTTTCTGCTTAGAAATCTAGAAGAACTTTCCCAAAGTATATGAAGCCATATATGTCAGAAGTGTGACTCCTACAGGGAGATGGTCTTAAGAAACAGAAAGAAACACTTCCTTTTATCAAAGCTGGATTATTTCCCATGAGAAAAGAGCAGCTTGGCTGAGAGAAAGTTTGCTAAGAAAATAATCACAACAAAAAATATTTGGATCAGGAAATGTAATTCCAGTTTTCCCAAGTGACCTCCATTGTTCCAAATGTACTCATGGGCAGCAGCTAGAGAGTATCAGGAGACTCCCTGAATCATCCATTTAGGAGAAAAGTTTGACTCAGGTTATAGTAGCACGGGACATCCACAGCAGGGCATCTGTCTTTTCTCTTTAAAAGTAATTTAGAGAATAGGAGAAGCAAGATGGCAGGGGAGTAGGGAGACCTAAATTTCATCCGGTCCCAAGAATTCAGCTAGATAGTCAAACTGTTCTGAACACGTGCAAACTCAAAAGGAGATCAAAGAAAAGAATAGCAGCAATTCTCTGAACAGAAAAGCGACCACTTTCTGAAGGTAGGACATGTGAAGTGAATCCGAGGTGATATGTGGGAAGATAGACTATGGGGGGAGGGAGCCTCTGTCAGCTGGCTCCCTGCAAGTGATAGAGCAGTGGAGGACAAAATTGGAACTTTTAGAAGTCTGCTCCACCAAGGGATGTCGCTCCAGTGGCTAAGCGGGGGTGGGGGTGGGGGAGCCCTCGCTGGGACAGTGTGGTCTCAAGACCCTCAGGGTTGCAGAAAGACTGAAGGTGCCTGAGTGTGGCAGAGCTCTCAGGTGTTGGAGTGGAGAAGCTGGCTGCAAAGATGGAGCCAAGGAGTGGGCTCTCAGCTCGGGGTTGCTATAAACCATGATCCGTGGCCAAGTCAGGCCACTACTCTTCGAGTAGGGACCCCACAGTGGCAGATACAGGGAGATCCCTCCACTTCCTCCACCAGGAGGAGCAGTACAGGAGCATGCTGCAGGAATCTGCTTGGGTTTGGAATCTCTGAATAGGGTCATATGCCAGAGATAGAAATCCTTGGTCACAGGCCAGGTCACAGTGTGTGGCTGGAGACTAGGGAGACAGGAGTGATTGACTGCTTTTCTCTGAGGGCTCACTGAGGAGCAGGCCTGAAGTCACAAGTAGGCAGAGAGGCAGGCAGAGAGAGAGGAGGAAGCAGGCTCCCCACTGAGCAGAGAGCCCAATGCGGGGCTCAATCCCAGGACCCTGGGATCATGACCTGAGCCAAAGGCAGAGGCTTTAACTCACTGAGCCACCCAGGTGCCCCTGCCATTCTCATTCTTGTCCTCCAAAGCTATATGGAGAGCTTTCAGGGAACAAATGCTATTGAGAGCAAACCCAAGCAGATTTCTTAGCCTGGCCCCTGGCAAGGGTGGGGTAATTCTGGCGGGGGCAAGGACACTTGAGAGTCACTGCCACAGGCCTCTCCCCCAGAAGATCAGCAAGAACATCCAGCCAAGACCAAGTTTACTGATCAATGAGAACTTCAAAACCCCAGCACTAGGGGAATACAACACATAGAATTCATGGCTTTTTTCCCATGACACTTCAGTCTTTTAAAGTTAAATTGTTTTAATTTTCTTTATTTGTTTTCTTTTTTTTTTTTAATTTTTCCTCTTTCCTATTTTAACTAACATCTTATCAATATCTTTTTAAAATATCTTTTTAAATTTTCATTTTTACAGTTATATTCTATCCCTTCATTATTTAATCTTACTTTTTGTATGTATATATATATATATATATATATATATATATATATATATATATTTTCCTTTCTTTAAATTTTTGGGATACAGTTTCTTCTAACAGTCCAAAATATACCCTAAGTCTAATGTATGGCTTTGTTTTAGTCTCTTGCCTGATCACATTCTCTACCTCACCTTTTTAAAAAATTTTTTTCTTTCTTTTTCAACCCATTTCTTATCAATTCCTTTTTAAAATCTTTTTAAATTTTCATCTTTACAGTCATATTCTATCCCTCCATCATATTTACCCTTATTTTGTATATGTATAAGTTTTTCTTTCTTTAAATTTTGGGGGGCATTTTCTTCCAACAGACCAAAATACACTCCAAATCTAATGTGTGACTCTGTTCTATTCACCAGCTTGATCATATTCTTTTTTTTTTTCTTTTTCCTTTCTTTTCTCCACAGTTGTGGGTCTCTTCAGATTCATTTTGTGTATATTTTTCTGGGGTTGTTGTTACCCTTTTAGCATTTTGTTCTCTCATTCATCTATTCTT